TTTCAGGAAGTTGCAGTTTAGCCCCTGATGTTCCAGAAAATTACAGAAAGGTCCCTCTGTTTCTGAAAAACTGCAGTTCGGTCCCTGTTCTTCTGAAAACATTTGTTTTGGTCCCTGGAGTTCTGAAAAGTTTCAGAAAAATCCCTGGTTGGCAGAAATATTTCAGATTGGCCCCTGTAAGTTCTGAAAATTACAGTTTAGCCCCTGTAGTTCTGAAAAGTTACAAATTAGCACATAACTTTTCAAGAAAATATTTTGAGCCCGAAAAATTCTACCCCACCATTTTTTACGCTTCCGAATCCAACCGAGAGCTCGGTTTTATCTAATTTTTCCTTGAAATATTTGTAAAATAAATTTGCAATTATTTTCGATGGAATCTACAAGTACGATTACGATGGTTCGACTTACGCCCACAAATTACAACATGTGGAAGCCAAGGATGGAAGATTTGCTTAATCTGAAAGATTTAGCAGAGCCTATAGAAAAGCAAGGCGTCAAACCCAACACGAAGACAGACGAAGTTTGGACGAGAATAAACAGGAAAACGGTGGCACAAATTCGACAGTGGATCGACCACAGTGTTTTTCATCATGTCTCTCAAGAGACAGACGCGTACAAACTTTGGGAGAAGCTCGAGAATATGTATCAGGCAAAGACGGCACGCAACAAGACCTTGCTGATGAGGCGCCTTGTAAACCACAAGTTACGAAGTGGTACGTCCATAACCGAGCATACGAGTCAGTTCCAGGATCTCGTAAACCAGCTCGGTGCTGCTGATTGGGTTCTCAAAGACGAGGAACAAGCCATATTGCTCTTGAGTTCTCTACCAGATAATTGGGAGACGCTTGTTGTGACTCTCAGCAATTCTGCCCCCGGTGGTAAAGTGACAATGGAGATGGTCACAGATGCCCTAATGAACGAGGAAGCCAGAAGGAAAGAAGCTGGTACAGACCAGTCTTTTGCCCTCGTGTCAGAAAACAAAGAAAGAGGCGGAGGCAGAACTGGAGGCCGAGGTCGAGGTAGAGGCAGAGGTAGACATGGTCAAAGTAGAGGAAGATCCCAAGATCGTGGGAAATCACGAGATCGAGGGAAATCGCGAGAGCGAGGTAAATCTTCAAATACATGGTTCGAAGGCTATTGCAATCATTGTAATTATTATGGCCACAAAAGGAGTGATTGCCGAAGGTTCTTACGAGAGCAGCCCGAGACAAGCCAGAATCCAAGCAGGGAGAATGGTGAAACCATGGTCACCATAACACAAGACGTTGCCCTTGTTACATACGAGGAGGAAGCATGCCTACATGTTGAAACTCATGATGATGAGTGGGTGATTGATAGCGCTGCATCATATCATTCGACTCCAAACCGGGATTTATTCAGTACTTATAAACCCGGAGACCATGGTACCGTGAAGATGGGAAACACCAGTTTCTCAAGCGTTGCTGGTATTGGTGATGTGCATTTAAAGACCAATGTTGGATGTACATTGGTGTTGAAAGATGTTCGGCATGTCCCAGAGCTGAGAATGAATCTTATCTCAGTTGGAGCTCTTGACGTCCAAGGATATGATAATCAATTCAAAAATGGCACCTGGAAGTTGTTAAAAGGTGTTATGGTTGTTGCAAGGGGAAAACTTGATGGTACTCTTTATAAAAGTCATGCAAAGTTGCTTCAACCAAGTCTCAATGTTGTTAAAGAAGAGACATCACCAAACTTGTGGCATAGAAGACTAGGCCACATGAGCGAGAAGGGATTGACGACTCTTGCAAAGAAGGAGTCCATTTCAATGGCAAAAGATGTTGCCTTGGATCCTTGTAAATACTGCCTATTCGGGAAACAACACAGAGTTTCCTTTAGCTCCACAAGAAAGAACCGCTCTGAGTTGCTGAGCCTTGTCCACTCCGACGTATGTGGACCCATTGAAGTAGAATCTCTTGGTGGAAGCCGGTATTTTGTGACATTCATTGACGATGCGTCACGAAAGGTATGGGCATACTGTTTGAGAACGAAGGACCAAGTATTGGACCGCTTCAAAGCTTTTCATGCAATGGTGGAAAGACAAACAGGTAAGAAGCTAAAATGTCTCCGATCAGATAATGGAGGCGAATACTATTCCCGTGAGTTCTCTAAATACTGCACGGAACATGGTATCAGACATGAAAAGACTGTCCCACGAACCCCACAACACAATGGTGTAGCAGAACGGATGAATCGCACCATTGTTGAGAAAGTTCGATGCATGCTCAGCATGACTAAACTCCCAAAGCCATTCTGGGGTGAAGCTGTATTGACATCTTGCTATCTAATAAATAGGTCACCTTCCGCTCCATTGAATTTTGAAGTTCCAGAGAAGATATGGACGGGTAAAGACATATCATATTCTCACTTGAGAGTATTTGGGTGCAAAGCGTTTGCACATGTATCAAGTGAACTGCGGAAGAAATTGGACCTCAAATCCACTGCATGCATCTTTATTGGATATGGATATGAAGAGTTCGGGTACAGGCTATGGGACCCAGAACTAAATAAGGTCATTCGAAGCAGAGATGTGGTTTTTTATGAAAACCAGTATTATGATTTCAAGGCACCGGTTAACAAGCAACAAAGCTCCAAAGTTTCAGATATAATATCTAAAAATAAAGATGATGTTTCCACTGAAGAAGTGGATGAAGAAGTCGATGATGCAGATCAACAAGGTGTTGAGCAGGGGGAGCTTCCACCCCTGGATAATTCAGATCCACTGCCAGAAGTTGCAAACGAAGGAACTCAAGTTAGACGATCCGAACGAGTACGTGCTCCATCAACAAGATATCCGACTTCAAACTACATCCTTCTTACTAGTGAGGGGGAGCCAGAGAGTTTTCAAGAAGCTCAATCTCATATTGACAAAGCAAATTGGCAGAAGGCCATGGAAGAAGAAATGAATTCTTTGTAGAAGAATCAAACATATGAGTTGGTAAACCTTCCCAAAGGAAAGAAAGCCTTGAAAAACAAGTGAGTTTTCAAGTTGAAGAAAGACGGCAAGGGAAATACTATGAAGTATAAGGCGAGACTCGTTGTCAAAGGTTTCCAACAAAAAGAAGGAATCGACTTTGATGAAATTTTTTCGCCAGTTGTGAAGATGATGTCTATTCGAGTTGTACTCGGATTAGTTGCCAGTCTAGATCTTGAACTTGAGCAGATGGATGTGAAAACAGCCTTTCTCCATGGTGATTTGGATGAAGAAATATACATGGAGCAACCTGATGGCTTTAAAGTCCCAAAGAAAGAGCATCTCGTCTGTAAATTAAAGAAGAGCCTTTATGGTCTTAAGCAAGCCCCAAGGCAGCGGTACAAGAAGTTTGATTCATTTATGATGAATCATGAGTACAAGAGAACTGTTGCAGACCATTGTGTCTATCTGAAGAAGTTTCCAGATGGGAAATTTGTCATCCTTTTGCTCTACGTGGATGATATGTTGATAGTGGGCCAAGATGCAATGATGATCAACAACTTGAAGAAGGATTTGTCTAAGTTCTTTGATATGAAAGACTTAGGCCAAGCACAACAGATATTGGGCATGAAAATTATCCGTGATAGAAAATCAAGAAATTGTTCTTATCACAGGAAGAGTATGTTGAACGTGTGATCAAAAGGTTCAACATGGAAAATGCCAAGCCCGTTTGTACGCCCTTGGCTAACCACTTCAAGTTGAGTAAGAAAAGTTGTCCATCTTCTGAGAAAGAAAAAGAAGAGATGAAGGCAGTCCCCTATTCCTCAGCCGTAGGAAGTCTTATGTATGCAATGGTGTGTACAAGACCAGATATTGCTCATGCTGTCGGTGTTGTGAGTAGATATCTAGCTAATCCGGGAAAACAACATTGGGAAGCAGTCAAATGGATACTTCGATACCTGAAGGGTAGTTCAAACTATGTTTATGCTACGGGGGAGCAAAGCCAATCGTGGAAGGTTATACAGATGCCGATATGGCAGGAGATCTTGATAGTAGGAAATCTACATCAAGTTACATTTTTACTTTGGCAGGGGGAGCTATCTCGTGGCAATCCAAGTTACAGAAGTGTGTCGCACTGTCAACAACAGAAGCCGAGTATATTGCTTCCGTTGAAGCTGGGAAGGAGCTTATATGGATGAAACGGTTTCTTCAAGAATTAGGCTTTCCACAAGAAGAGTACATCATTCATTGCGATAGTCAGAGTGCTATGGACCTGAGTAAGAACTCGATGTACCATTCCCGTACAAAACATATTGATATACGTTATCACTGGCTTAGAGAAGCAATTGAGGGACGAGAATTGAAGTTGTTAAAGATCAACACCAATAACAATCCTGCAGACATGTTGACAAAGGTGGTGACACAAGAGAAACACAGACTATGTGCTGACATAGTTGGGATGAGGATTGTTGGACGGAGACTGGAGGGGGAGATTTGTTGTGTTCCAGCCTCCAAAGCCTCCAAAGCTACAGTAGCCATCATTGTTGACAAAATGAAACCTACGGGACAAGTTTTTCTTCCCACCCTATGATGAACACAATTAACAGACGCAACTACAATGGTGGCTGCCAAGACTATAAATAGAGACTTCATTCTTCAGTTGTATACATCCCAAAAACACAGAGAAACAGATAGTATAACACTTAGAGTGAGAGTGTTAGTGAGAGGGTTGGTTTTTTGTAATAGTTGAGTGTGAGAGTTGCTCCTCCTATTGTAATTCTATTTTCATGTTTAATAGAAGAGTTCTCCAACCCCAACAACTGGTATCAGAGCCAGGTTTGGCGATGGGTTTAAGAGACTTGCGGGATTGAAATTTCCTGACACACAACGTTCAAGGTATAATGAAAGCATGACACTTGGAGAATGTGAAATAGCTTGTAAAACGAATTGTAATTGTACATCTTATGCAAATTTGGATATCTGAAATGGTGGAAGTGGTTGTTTGTTGTGGTTTGGTGATCTGATTGATATCAGAGAGTATGATGAAGATCAAAATCTTTATATAAGAATGGCTGTCTCTGAGATAACAGATGGGGACTCGAACTTCAGAAGAACAAAAGTAGTCACCATTGTTCTGATAGTCTCAGCAGCAGCATTGCTTCTGTCTGTAGTAGCTTTTGTGTATAGAAACAGAAAGAAAAGGCTACATATGAAAGGTGGAGTAACACAATCATCTTTTTTTTTATTATTATAAACCAAACGATTTCAACTTTCAATTACCTTGATAACTTTTCATGTCTATAAATGTAGAGTCTTTTAAGTCCCCTCGATGTTTCTCTAGCTTTAGGGACATTGGGATTTGCCTCTCCATATATGTTGGCTGTTGATGAGGTGTCAAGCGTGAAGTTTTCTCATTTTTTGAGTTTTTGAAAATCATGTAATCAAGAACAATTCAACTTATCATTTTGTAGGAAACAGGGTACTTGCACTTGATAAAAGACATAGTAGTGTAGGGATGGAAGATCTTGAGGAGGTACCCTTTTTTAGTCTGAATGAAGTAGCCAAGGCAACCAATAATTTCAGCATTGATAATAAGATTGGAGAAGGTGGATTCGGTCCAGTTTATAAGGTAACTTAATTATTGAAACTTCTTGAATAGAATCCGATGCGTATTAGAATCATAAAGTTTAATCTTAATGTTTTAGGGTGTGTTACAAGATGGACAAGAAGTAGCTGTGAAGCGTCTCTCAGACACATCAGAACAAAGGGATTGAAGAGTTCGAGAATGAAGTAATTTGTATTGCAAAACTTCAACATCGGAATCTTGTGAAGCTTCTTGGATACTGCATTCATGGAAATGAAATGATTTTGATTTATGAATACATGGTTAACAAAAGCTTGGACTCATTCATATACGGTCTGACTCTCTGCAGTTTAACTAAATATGATGCTTTTGAATTTCTTGTCAAATCAAAGGATGAATTACTTAAGTGAATATCTTTTTGGCAGATAATACGCAAGGTTCGATGCTTAATTGGCCTCAGCGGTTTGGCATTATCCATGGAATGGCTCGAGGCATTCTTTATCTACATCAAGATTCTCGCCTTCAAATCATTCATAGAGATCTGAAAGCAGCTAATATTTTGTTGGATGGTGACATGAATCCAAAAATATCCGACTTTGGCCTTGCTAGAAAGTTTGTAGGGTTTGATAATGCCACCCAAGACAAAGAAAGTGGTTGGGACATAGTAAGAATCCAAAAACATTGTTTATTAAGAAAAAGATAGAGAGTCAACTAGTAATATGTCAATTTACTTCATTTAACTTTGTTGCAGTGGTTACATTTCTCCAGAGTATGCATTACGGGGACGATTCTCTGTAAAGTCAGATGTATTTAGCTTTGGTGTTCTAGTGTTGGAGATAGTCAGTGGCAAAAGAAACAGGGAATTTTCTTATGGAGACCATAGAGACAACCTTCTTGGACATGTAAGTTAGATCTTTAGACCCGAAACTAGTGATTTCTTTAATGTAAAATGTCAAGCCCAAAGTTACAAAATAGCTCAATAACCTCTAGATCAACTTAAAACCATGGTAAAAGTAAATGATAACACAACTTACCGATTATTAGAGGCTCGCAATGCTCACTTTTTATCCATTTGATCCAGGCATGGAGACTGTTCAAAGAAGATAAGTCAATTGAAATGATGAGTGCATCTTTACGTGAGACGTGTGTAATATCTGAGGTAGAACGTGTGATACATGTTGGATTATTGTGTGTGCAACATCATGTAGAAGATAGGCCAACTATGTTGTCAGTGGTTTTGATGTTGGTTGGTGAGGGTGCATTACCTCAACCCAAACAGCCTGGCTATTTCTCTCAAGATAGTCATGAATCTAAGTCTATTTCATCACTCGGTGATGATGAATATATGATAACACTACTGTATGCTCGTTAGCAACCACATCTTTACACAATGTTGTAAAAATCCCGACTAGGTTACGATTAGTCTCTAAGCGCTGCCTGACTGGCTAGATGGCATCTAGCACTTGATCATTGCCTACACGATGAACGAAGAAGTAGCAAACGATGAAATTTTAACACTTTGAAGAAGTTCTATCTCAATAGAAACTAACTGAGGAAAGATTAATGTTGTATTAATCATATTAACCTACTTTCTTATTATCTTAGTAGTTTTTACGAACTTTGTTATGATATTTAGTCATATTTCATTTTTTTTATATTCAATGAATTAGCAATTTAGAGTCCCCGATTAATCTCCGCCTAGCCGATTAATCTTTTAACTCCGGTCCACAGACTAGGTAACGTCGAACATTTATTACAACATTGTCTTTACCTCAAGGGATAAAAACTTTGTTAGAGCTTATGTCATTTGGCTTAGATTATTACTCTTTATTTACATTATATTCTCTATTCTTTTCTTTCTTAATCTCCTATTAACTTTAAACTCAAGACGACGTAAATTCCACATTAACTATGCGTTAGATTTTTTAAGTCAAGATTAAGTTAAGGGTAAACTTGTTCATTCGTGTTGACCGGTGAAAATAATGAATACTGAGGAAATGATTTCCTTGATTCAAAATGATAAAGTTACAAACTATAAATACAATACAAAAAGGCCATGGGTCATAGACCAGACTATACATATGGGATATAACATAACAAATACACACTAACCTTCCTCCACAATTTGATGATAAGAAGGTTGGACAATATTAAAAATTGGCTTTGAAGTTGTGAAAAAGGTGACGTAAAGAGTCCCTTCTTGAAGATGTCAGCATGCTATGAGCTTGAAGGGACAAAGAGAACACAAACAAAGCCTATAGGAACTTTGTCATGAACAAAGTAAATGAACTAGGTTTGTAGACATATAAACCGCAATGATGTTATCACAATATACAAAAGTGGCCTTGTTCGTCACCCACTGAAGAAGCTTTTTGTGTCTTTGTTATCACGAATGAGGGTCTCGAGATTGTTCCAAACTTGAAGAGTGGTGGAGTCCTTCATTAGTACCATTTAGAGTAGATAATGTGAGATGGATATGTATATCCACAATTTCATAATAAAGTCTACTTTCTTCCATTCCACATCTTTTGGTTTTAGGGTAGAGTCGTCTTTATGGTTCAATCACATCGAACCCAATAAAATGGGTGGAGAAAAGTTCTCTCTACATATCATAATCGAGTCAATCAAGGTCAGCACCAAGATGCATTTATGTTTTTATGTTCATGATGTCAGAAGCTTTATGGGTAGGGCAGTAAACGAACTGAACGTTAATAAATTGTTCGTGAACCGTTTGGCGGGAAGTTCATTTATGTTCGTTTATTTAATAAATGGCATTTCTAGTTTTATTTACAAACGAACATGAACACCAATTCTCGCTCGTTTAATTAAACGAACGAACATGAAAAATGGTCTCGTTCATTCAGTTATGTTCGTGAACGTTCGTTTATGTTGTTCGTTCATATAAGTTCCTTTTATGTTCTATATGCTCAATTGTGTTTGATTACAATATTACTATATTATATGTTCATTTATGTTCATATATGTTCAATTAAGTTTGTTTATCTTTGTTCGTTTATGTTTATTTTTTATGTTCATTTAGCATGGTCACGAACATAAACGAATGAACATGAACAATGTAATTTGTTAAATGAACAACATAAACAAGAAAACTCGTTCGTTTATCCGTTCGTGTTCGTTCGTTTGTTCGGATAACTTAAACGAACGAACATGAACAAGTCCTCATTCAGTTAATTTACAACCCTATTTTTTGGGGAGTGGGAGTGTTGGCTGCCATGGATAAGGCTTGCAAGAACAAGATTGGAGGCTAGCAATGAGGTTGAGGGTTCAACCGTCGAGAAAAGAGGAGCCGGTGGAGAAAGATATAAGAGATAAATGGAAGGGGAGAGATTTTAGGTGGATTTTATACCATGCTTTAATACCATATTAAGGAATTGATCTCTCGGAAATGTCTAATTTTTATCTAATTGAATTTTCGATTTGTATCATCGAAATACTTCAATTTGATAGTACTTTCATGACTTTTAGAGAATCTTAGCAATCATTTTACCACCGATTTCTAACATCACGACTTTCAGAGAATCCTAACATCTCTCTCTCTCTCTCTCTCTCTCTCTCTCTCTCTCTTATATATATATAAATGTAATGTATGAAAATAGGCTAAACTATATATTACTTTAACACTCACCCCCTCCCCACATCCAAGCTGTAATATCGTATATGCTCAAATTGAACCAAATCACAAAATATAATTGTGAGGTTAAACCTTATGTAAAGATTGTTAGTTAAGGACTTCGCTTTCTTCTCGAAATATTCTTGTAAGAAAATGTTAGTAATAAACGCAGTGGCTGAGACTTAAGTTGGACTCGATTCCCTTAAACAGATTCGTCGTCTCTTCCCAGGGTACACAACCTTAACAGTGTGTAGTGCGAGATATATCCACTTGTCTAAAAAGAATCGTTGGAAGCAGGTGTACAGAGAAGGAGGAGGAAGAAGAGTATTTTCATTTGTGTGTTGAATGAGACGGTGGATGTCTCCTTTTATATTTGAACATGTAACAACAGCAAATCAATTCGTCATTAAGGAATTAATTGAGGCCAATAAATGCATCAGTTACAAAATTCAAACTAGGGACCAAAACTGTCAAGTTTAGCAAAAACAAGGGTTGCGCGAGCCCGAATTTTCAGAGCTGCATTCGTGTCTGCAGGTCGCGCTCATGCGCAAGTTCGGTGATTTTGGTCTACGAAATCCAAGATTTGCACCCCATCCCCCTACGCGCCGGTAGGACTTGAAGTAAAAATATAGATATTCCTACTTTCTTGTTAATTAATGACCAAAAAATTATATTTTAATTATTATTTTTTATAAATTTTTCTATTTGTACTAAACCCAATTAAATATATGGGCTCTAAAGTTTTCCAAGCCCAAATACTTTTTCTCTTTGATATAAACTAAGTAAACCCAATCAGTAAATCGCTGTGCTAGAACTTTTTCATCAATATCGAAGTTACTAATTAAATGAACTCGTTTATCCTCATTTTAGGATGCTACAACTTGTGATTGTCGAAATTTCGGGGTCACATGACCAATGGTTGTCGAAACTACAGGGATAGCACAACCTATCACTGCAGTACCTCAAACATAGTATAGAACATTTGTTTTTCTCAGGTTAACATTTATTACAACGAGAGAGCCTTTTGTTAGCACAACTTGTGATTGTAGTACCCCGAACATAATAGAGACCATTTTCTTTTCTCATGTCGGCCTTTATCATAACAAGAGAGCCTTTCGTTATCTTCAGAACTCCGTCTCCACCTGAAAATTTGTATCCCTTTTCATCAAAGACACTTGAAGATATAATGTTTCTCTTCATCTTTGGAATGTATCGAACATCACTTAAGGTTCTTATTATGCCATCAAACATCTTGATCCGTATGGTGCCAATACCACCAATCTTGCATGGTGAGTTATCAAAATCAAGAACAGAACCAGCATTATGAAGTGGTTTGAAGGTAGTAAACCATTCTTTGTGTGGGCACATATGGTATGTACAAACGAAATCAATAACCCACTCGTGATTAATGTTGGGACACCCAACAAAATCTACATTAACAACTTCTTTTGAGTGTGGTCGATTGCTTTCTTCAAGAGCAACATCCTTACCATCTTTTTTCTGTAAAAAGACCACAACAAAGGCCGAGTTTAAAAGGGGAGAGATTTAAAATACAAATACTAGATATAGAACTAATAGTAAAATAGTTGTAAATTAAAAATCTTATAAAGGTAAAGAAAGTAGCCAAAACCTACGCTACTTCACTCCTCACATGTCCAATAAAAACTTGAGTAATAACCGCGCTTAAACCTTTGTCGTCCGGCCTAGAGTTGCCATGAAATCAGAAAAAGCATGCATTAACATATCTTCCTCAGCCTACAAAAAAGATTAAAATTATTAATAAATCAAGCAAAGTGTTGGATATTATACTTAACAATACATGTAAAGAAAAAAAAACAATCACCTTAAGTTTTTGCCATTCATGTGACAATGATCTACTAGCATCCATGAGGAGTTCATCCTGTTTCTCCAAGTGTCTACATTTAGAACAAGAACATTATGTGCTACCAATCATATAAGAAAAATAATTATTTCAGCAAAACTTACTTCAAAATCTCTTCATATTTAATGTCCATTAGATTATGCGAGCTTTATTGATACCCTGAAATCCTAGCCTCCAATCTTACTTAAACATTAACAGCAATTAGGGATGATCTTCAAGCATTGTTGATTAAATAAGTACCCTAATAAGCATAACAAAGATAGTAATGTAAATCTTGTTTGTAAAGAGAAGATTGTCTTCATAATATAAGGGCACAAGAGGCACAAGAGGCACAAGTTTTTGGAACATTGTCCTTGTCTTCTCTTGGAAAACATACGAATCTTGTGAAAACAGAGAAAGGACATTGCACTCTGTATGCATGTCTTAAAATAACTTATTCATGCAAATTGAAGCCATGGTTTCCACATCCAAAACTATTTAACCGAAGATTGGTATATTTACTCTTTAACTATCGACATAAATAATTAACTGTAAAGTTATTAAAAAAAAAAGGGTTTGAATGAATATTAAAAAGAAATTAAATTGATATTAGCCTTGTTTTAAAGGTATCAAAACATATATAATTGCATTAAAAATTTTCTTTTTTTGTTAAAACATTAATCTTCTACGTAAATTAACAAAATTGTGATAAAATTGGGGAAATAAGTTCATTAATCAAAATGTTTTTAAAATGAAACACTTAGAATTTTGGTATAAAAAGCAATGCATTAACAAATTTAGTGTAATTTGACGAGTTACTATTGATTATACTAAATTAAGTGTAAGAACATGGCTCTACTTTTTAAAATTCGATTTAGTGTGTGTTAGTGTACACATAGTAAATTCGTATCTCATAGACCAAATCCATATTGTGAAACAAAACTCGTTACACACATATGCTATTCAAAAACAATATTTACCCAAAATTTAAACCTCAAAAACAATGTTCGACTTATTTAATGTTTTTCGTTACTATCCACATTGACCAATGCATTTGACTGTGGTGGCTCAATATCTTCCAAAACACTCGTACCATCTTGTCTCTGCAAAATTCGAATTAAGAAAACATATTAACTTTGACCATAAACGTTGACTAATAAGTAATTTCAAGAATGATTCATATATCTAATAAAATTAACTGTTTTTAATTACAAAATTAATATCACCTTTGTAGCCAGACCTTGAGACGCCATGAGATCATAAAATGCACGCATTAACATTTCTTCCTCAACCTACAAAAAGACTAAATAATTAATATTCCTATGATATTTTCCTTGTTTTTTTTCTTCAAAATGCCAATTTTACACTTTAGTTGCGTGTTATAGAAAATGAAATGGAACTCAATTATAAAAACTAAAGAATATTTTAACTTTATTTATATATAAATAAAGATTAAAAAAAGATGTGTTACCTGAAGTTTATGTAATTCATGTGACATTGATCTATAAGCATCCATGAGGAGTTCATCCTGTTTCTCCAAGTGTCTACATATTAAAGAACAATATTATGTACTGTTGGTCATATTAGATTTAAAAATATTTCAAGAAAACTTACTTTAACATTTCTCCAGTGTATTTAGGATCCATCAAGTGCAGATTCTGAAAAGAAAAAAAAAAGTTCTCAAAATTAGGGATGACCTTCAAGCATTGTTGTTCAAATTAACATAAATTAACATGTGTTACATCAGAAATCGTATCAGAACAAGATAGTAATGTGAATAATATGTGGAAAGATAAATTTTTATGCATAAAATCTTTGATCTTGTTCTATGATTTTCTTGTTCTTGATCATGCTTCAGTTTAGATCCAAATCACTGATGGGTTAGTAACACAATCATAGCTCCAAACACGAATGCAATTTCCTCTGTTTTCAAAACAATGTCTGACTTAAAATAAAATTCTTCTTAACGATTGAATTTCAATTTTCAACCAACCGAACTTAAACTAACAAACCCTAACAATTAATTAATTAACAATTAAAAAACTACTGGTAAACAATCAGACCTGGAAACAGAAATTATAAGTCATTATCAACAAGAAAGTAAATTATAAAGATATATGTCATGCCAAGAAACAATCGGAAGGAGAATATTGGGGACAGGGTAAGGGCCATCTGAAATTGCGATTTCTTACGTACTACCAATTTTGACAAAACAATTAACGAATCAGGTCTAAACACGCATGAAATCAATCTGTAATCCGACAAACATACAATAACGAAGATTTATATAATACGTACCTAACCAATAAGAGAGGCGACAATCTTCAGAACCCAATCAAACCACTGCGCAGAAGTCGGCGGTGTCGGTTGCTTCGGGTATGAAGGAGGGCGGTGCAAGTGGCTGCAGGGAAGGATGATGGCGAAGATGGAGGCTGCTGTGGCGCCGGTGTTTCGGAGGCTATGTGAAGCAAATAAGAAGAAAAGATAAAACGATGTAGGGAATGAGGGCTAAAAGTTTACACAATGAATCGTTCAGAGCCCTTCGTAAATAAATAAATAAATAAATAAATAATAGGTAATGCTTACGCATTTAATTTATTTTTATATATATTTAATCATTTATGTTTTTGGTATACATGTAGTCATTTATGTCTTTGCCTTCATATAAATTAGGTGGAGGAGATGGTGAATATGAGAAGAGACTGGAAGGATGAAGACAATTAAGGGGCTGTTTGGCAGGATCTGAATTTTTAAGATCTGAAACTTTAAGAGGTCTGAATTTATAAGAGCATCTGAATTTTTAAGATCTGAATTTTTAACAAGCTGTTTGGTTGGAACCTCTCTATTACTGTGCTAAATAATGAAAATGACCATTTTACCCTTTTGTATTTGCTAAATTCAGTAATTCTATTTTATAAAATAATTTAACCAACTTCTTAAATAATTATAAAAAAAATATAAACACCATATAAAATCTAAACACCCTACAAAATTCAAATATAAACATCCTACAAAATCCAACACATATGAAAACACATACAACTATAACAAACATGAGCTGCACATAACTACATAATGTTATAATTGGAAGAACTCTATCACCACACACCAACATTATCATAACCAGAGTTCCAATATGCACCACCATAACTTCTGTTGAAGAACTCTATCAACAACATTTTCTTTGACAAATGAGATGATATGCAATCCCTTAAGAAGAATATTTCAAGTATGAAATATTTTAAATCAACAAAATTTGCAGCAGCACACAACATGCAACAACTATGAAATCCACCTCCAAAACCAACTACATAAAACATGACCAGGGGCAATATCTCCAAGGGGAAATCGACCACCAAGCTGTAACTTTGACTTTAGTTGAATCCAAAAACCATAACGTTGACTTTATTTGAATCTAAAACCGACATCAGATCAAAACTGAAATATAACCTAACAAGTAACAATCACATTGATGAAAATGGGCTACAACATAAGGGGTAGGATCGACAAATCAAGCCAATTTTTTTTAATGGAGAGAGCGACACCAATTAAGGATAAAATTAATCGGTATCTATCCGCTTACTTTCACCATCGTGCTTGAATGCTTGTTGGGATTGGGATTGAACCAGAATAATCGAGTTTCAGGGAAAAAAAACTTACCAAGAGCTGTGTTGTCGATGAGGGACCAGGAGAGCTTTGCTTCCGGTGGTGATGGTGGCACTGGCGAAAGAATCGGCCGACTGGTTCAGACCGGAGATGGAGTGGGTGAGCAAAACGTCATGTGTATTGAAAGAGAAGAGGGAAAGTGGGGCTGAAATATCAAGGGCAAACCTGCAGAAGATGTCGGCGATGCAGCTGGAGCCGAAGACGAAGGCGCCACAGTCGAAGCCGACGACGGCGGAAGCAGAGGGGATCGGAGCTGCAACAGATTGGAGTAAAGGAGAGGCGTCGTTGATGGTTGGGAGGGAAAAAAGAGGCTGTGCCCTGAAATAGAAGAGAATGCGATTGTGGGCAAAACAGGAAACACGCGTGTTCTTATTTTTTCAGATACAATCACATGTCTGAGAAATTAAGAGGTGTTTTTTAATTTAAGAGGCAAAAAATAAGATGCTATCAAACACCCTACATCTTAATTTTTAAGAGATTGCCTCTTAATTTTTTAATTAAGAGGCAAACAAACAGCCCCTAAGTGGATGACGGTGGATAGAGTCCGTGAAGGGCAGGGACTAAAGTAAACCTGTGTGATCAATATTAGAATAAGTCAAACTTCTACGGCCAATATCCGAATGAGTCAAAAGTTATGTAGCAAAAATGAAAAGTCCAAAAGATCACTATTAATACTTGCCATGCGCTTTAATATATATATATATATATATATATATATATATATATATATATATATATATATATAGTTTCAGGTTCATTTGAAACCATTCTAATTTTGTGAGATCGTGAGACCAAATCTAAAAATAATTTTAAAATGCAAAATAAATGGAAAAATCCAAAAATTCTTTTTTTAAATATTATTTTCGGAACTTGAATTAACTAAAATAAATAAATAAATAAATAAATAAAATCCCGTTTTTTTTGAAAAATACATGAAATATTCTAAATAGAATATTACACTGACATATTCAAAAAAATAATTTTAAAATGCAAAATAAATGGAAAAATCTAAAAATTCTTTTTTTAAATATTATTTTCGGAACTTGAATTAACTAAAAAAATAAAAATAAATAAAAAAAATCCTATTTTTTTTTAAAAATACGTGAAATATTCTAAATAGAATATTACACTGTACATATTCTAAAAAATAATTTTAAAATGCAAAATAAATGGAAAAATCAAAAAATTCTTTTTTTAAATATTATTTTCGGAACTTGAATTAACTAAAAAAATAAAAAAAAATAAAAAAAATGCGTCTCACGGTCTCACAAAATTAGGCCGTCTCACATTAACTTCTGTGTGATCAATATTAGAATAAGTCAAACTTCTGTGGCCAATATCCGAATGAGTCAAAAGTTATGTAGCAAAAATGAAAAGTCCAAAAGATCACTATTAATACTTGCCATGCGCTTTAATATATATATATATATATATATATATATATATATATATATATATATATATATATATATATATATATAGTGAGGTTCAATAGAGAACCATAATTAACCAAGGACCAATCTTTTTTTCAAATTTTAGAACTTATTTTTTATCAAAAAAAAACTAAAAATACAGAAATTCATAACTTTTTATCATTTTTCCAATGATATCAAATTCAATTTTTTTTTTACGTCAAATTCACAATGTGAATCTTTGAAAATTCACAATGTGAATCCGGATTCACACGGTGAATCCGAAAAATATTTTTCACATTAACAATGTTAATATATTAATTTAGATATTTTTAGATTTTTTTTTCGATAAAGAATAAGCTCTAGAAATTGAAAAAAAGATTTGGTTCCTTGAAGAACCAATAATTATGGTTCTCTATTGAACTTTTCTATATATATATATATATATATATATATATATATATATATATATATATATATATATATATATATATATAGGGAAAGGTGAATATACCCTTAAGGGTATAAAAGGTTAGGTACCCAATCTACAAAACTACGTAGTTTCGATTATTGGATTGATTTTCTGAAGAAAAAATAATACAGTTTCCATAAATTATTTGCTACGTTCCTAATTAGGCTCACTGATAACATCAAATCACATCTTCCTTGATCGCCTGATGATCGGCTGGTTATCACAAAAAAATTCAGAGAAATCGAATTCAAAGACAAAAAATATCGATTTAAAAAAATCCCTACTCAAAGAAAAAATGATTCTAGAGAAATCGATTTAAAAAAAACAATCTACTGATTTCTAAATTCACCAATGTATTTAACTTTTGCAGTTCTTTATTCTTGGTTCTCATTTGTATTTAAAATTGAAATTTGGCTGCAACTATGTGATTTAAACAAAAGTATGATGCTACAAAAACTACAAACCCCCCGTGTTTTGGTTAAGAGTACTTCCAAGTAGTTTTTCTATAACTGACATTGATATGATTATTAAAGTTTCTCAGGATTTAATAGTCAATATTATTGTTTATAATGTTCTTTATTACCTGATGAATATTTATTTGTTCATGGATTTTAAAAGTGACATTGTTGTTTTTAGACATTGTCATTGTGTCATTATGCTACTAGTTGTTCAAAAAGAAAGGTAAGTATAATAATTATTTAGTTTTAATGATTGAGAACTCTAATAATTATATTAACAATTTTTTATGTTTTTCATGTATCAGGCGGATGAATCGTTGCAAGAGATGTGTTGTTTCTGTGAGAAAAAGAAAAATTAGATGCTTCATGACATTTTTTGGTTAACTGCACCTTTTTCATGTTTTAGACACAAATGATGTGTGAATAATCTAGAAGTGATTGATGCTTCTTACCAATTTTTAAATCTATTTAATGAAATTTGTTGATTGTTTAATGATTTGTGTTTATAAGTGAAATTTGGTTGCCCCTATGTGTTTCAAACAAAAGTATTATGCCATTTTTGGTTAAAAATGCAACTTTTCTGTAATTATAGGTTAGAAATAAAAGTAGGCTGTCATTTTAGGTAAAAAAAAATTGTAATTTTTCTGCAATTATACGTTTAAAATGAAAGTTGGCTGTAATTTAGGGTTGAAAATACAACTTTTTCTGCAAATTGGTTAAAAATGCAACTTTTCTGTTATTATAGGTTAAAAATTAAAGTTGGCTGTCATTTTGGGTTTAAAATGCATTTTTTCTACAATTATTCGTTAACAATGAAAGTTGGTTTGTAATTTAGGGTTGAAAATGCAACTTTTTCTGCAATTTGGGTTAAAAATGCAACTTTTCTGTTATTATAGGTTAAAAATTAAAGTTGGATGTCAATTTGGGTTAAGAATGTAATTTTTCTACAATTGTTCGTTAAAAATGACCATGTGTTACCTAATGCATGTAGTCTAAAATCTAAATCACCATGTGTAAAGCTAAAATGGTAGCATATGATTAGGCCCTCAAAGTAATCTAATTCTTGCATAGCAATATCCATTTCACGAATATAAAATTCATTGATGTCTAATAAATCAATAAAACGCAGTTGACCATCTATATACTTACTGCTTGGGAATCTTGTGAACTTATCATCGTGATAGAGTTCAACTGAAAGAATGGTGGGATGAGCATTTGTACAAAGTAAACAAAAAAATTACAGACATGTAATAAACACGAGGCATAGTAACATTGGTAACAAAGTAACAAACCACATTCATGTCAATGTAGTTACAAAAAGCAAAGTAACTTAGTTTAGATGAGATTGACGTCAAAATGATAGTTCAAAGTTCTAATGGTCTACAATGTCAGTACCATTTTCCTTGTATTAAGAAACAAACGTTTTACCATGATTGTAAATCTGTAGTCTGTAATATAGAATAGAAGAGAGAAAATATTGAAAAGACAAAAATGCCCTCATATGAGGAGGGTACATGTTTTAATTAATAGAAGAAATCATACATGATTTGAATGTACGAACCAGAATCACAATGAAGCCATTCCCAAATGGTGTTTTTTAAAACAAAAACCTGCAGAAAATGAGAAGAATCTCAATTGCTACTTTTCTATAATTTTTGGGTTAAAAATGAAAGTAGGCTGTCATTTTGGGTTAAAAATGCAACTTTTCAGCAATTTTTGGTTTAAAAATGTAAGTTGTCCATGTCCATGATTCTGTTAAGTTTTGTGTTAATCTAAACACAAGTTTGATGGTTTTTCACTTTGTTGGACGGATTTGCCCCTATCCCAAAGATGGTATGTAATCCTCAAGAACGTAAGGATATGGAGGTTCAAGTCAGATAAACAATATGACCAAATACGAAGAATCTTAATTAACAATTTTGATTAAAAATTATAAGTACATTGCTATATCGGATAAATATGAAAAACGGGTGCTATTTCAGCTTACTCCAAAAAAAATATTCTTTTTTTCTATACATTTTCTCTCAACATATTCATGGTCCATTCACTATACAACAACCCAAGATTTTTCTATAGTTCCTACAATTCTTCCAATGCTTCAAGTATTCCCATCAATTCTCCAACAAAGAATCTCAATAACAATCAACACTGGTAAAACACACAGATTCTGCTATTGAGCATCTTTATCGCACTATGTATCCCCGTCAAGTGAGTAGCCACTACACAAAATGAATATCAATATTAAAATGTTAATTTAAGATATTAACATTACCTAATTTAAAGTATAATTTGACATCAGGAACAGGTGTGATTATATATTATCTCATACCCTTTTCTCAATTCTCTCTTGTAGGCCCCATTAATTTCATATATCTTGGTCCATCATATGAAAATAATATTAACGGACCACTCAAAACTAATCAAGAATAGGGTATTTCTGGGTATTCTTGACAATCTTGGATAGAGCAGTTTGGCCAAGATCAAGGCCACAAACATCAACAAGCTGAACCAGATACAACAAAACATCAGAGATTTATTGGGCTGTCTCCCACTTCCCCTACCAGCCATCAATCCATTGGAATCACTAATGATCTAATCATTTTCATGTAATATACTTGCTAAAATGGTTAAAAATTATTTAAGATAATTGAATACATATGATATTGATTAGAAGTTTTAACTAATTACCAAAGCTAAGAGGAGATTTCGTAGGCTGTGGTACTGATCCAAGTTCCTTACTTTAGCAAACTTGGCAAGCCTAGCTCTGAGTTCTTCCAGTGAAGCATCCTTGAACTTTCTGTAAAGCTTGTGGAGATTCTCCATCTTCAAAGCTCATGTGTGTATTATATGCTACTTCTGCACTTCTATTTACAGCCAAACTCAACACGTTAGCATGTGAGAGAAAGAAAGGGGTGGGGCTTAAAAAGAAGTAATAAGGCGCAGTTTGGGTTATATCCTTAGAAAGATAAAGTTTAAAATTCACTTCCTACAATTGGGGGTTAAAATAGTCTATGCTTTTAAGGCATTTAATCAAACATGTGGTGGGTGTTTTGTGCTGCCTTGCTTTGACTTTGATCTTTTGGCTTGAATACTGTGTGAGCATACTCCCAATCTTGATGGACAAGCTTTATGGAAAGAAAGTGGCTACAAGACTCCAGGTTTTGGTTGTTATATGTCTTATGAATGGAATTGCTTTACAATACATGTGGGGAAACAAACGTTGGTGGAATTGGGTTTGAAGAGAGAAGATATTTCGCTTTGGGTAGTTTGGAAAGTGGGATTGGGAATGGAAGCAATCGTAAATAACTTTCAATTACGAACCAGAAGCAATCGTATAAGGGTTAGTAGATAGGAAATCAACAGAATTTAAGGAAGCAGTCGAAGTACGAAGCAGTCGAAGCAGGAGCGAGCAGGAAGCAGATCTTTTTAAGAAATTGCATTTTTCTTTTAAGGAATCGATAATGAAAAAACAAAACGACGTAGTTTTTATTTTTGGGTACGTAAGCTATATACCCTTAAAGGTATATTCACTTTTCCCATATATATATATATATATGACCATAAAACTAAATTGTTATATATGTACAAAATAAAAAACACAAGTGATTAAATATGTACAAAAAA